CACACATGTTGAGTAATGGGAGCACAGAAACATCTCTGTTGCTACTGTAAATCACAGGTTTCAACCAACAAGTAGGACGTTAAAGCCAATGTTAAAGAGTTCTGCATGAACAAACATGCTTCCTATCATTCAAAAATCAATTTTAATGACCAGCTTCAAAATGTAAAGATCCCATATTGGTTGCCTTGGCAGCAAGCAAAGAAAAAAAACCTAATAAACTGGAAAGGCAGAAACTGTTTCTTAATATCTCTGTGATAAGGTCCAAAAAAATCTGCATAGGAAGACTAATGGCAACAAAAAAACAATAGATACTGGAGCTCATTTCTTTCTTTCTGTGCCATATAATCAAGGATATTAGACAGAGATAAAAGAACCTGCACGTATTCTAACAACAGAACGATGAACTCTTCAGCCAGAACAGTTCATCTAAACGAAACTATAAAGCTTTTTTCTTGGTGTGCATTCATTTTTCAATTAGGGAACTCCTATTAGCTGAAAATGATGTACTGGATTTATCTTGTACACTTGTACATTTTCATTGCTATTAGGATTACGACAATAATGGTCATTTACATATTAAAGTTTAAGTTTTACTTGTTGTTCTCACTCTTTGTTGGATTTTAACACCTCTGTTCACTTATTGTTTGTGTCTTGTATTAATCATCACTTTTTATATATTTTGCATGATAATTTGAATTAAAAATCCTCAATCGAAGTTCATTTGGTGCTGCTTTAATCAATGTCAAATTGTTTCATCAGAAAAGTAAAATTTTCTTTAGATACATCTTTTTGTGTGTTAAAACTGTGAACACTACTGCACACTGTCACGTTTGAATAGGTTAGAACGCCCCATTCATTAGAGACATAGAGGATTCTACACAGTCTGGTGAAAATATGAAACCCAACAATTCACATAGAACCATTTTTAGGAGCATAACCTGCAGCATATCAAATAACTTCAGCAAAGTATCGATTCTTCTAGTAGAACTTTAATTTGTACAAAGTTTATTAAGAAATTGCAGCAAAGCTTGCGCACTCCAAACAGCCATATTTTCAGAACAGTTCTCTTTTTTTGTACAAACTTACTAAAGATTATAAATGAAATTAATTACCAACATGCTAGTATGCTAACATTAGCTGTTCTATAGGAAGGTTCCTAAAACCGCTGACAGCAACAAACAAGCTTCATTTCCAACTTCTTTCAATAGAATCTGAAGCTTTTGTTGCTTACATCTGTTTACAGGTTTCATCATCATCTAGAATTGAATAAACAGGCTATAACAGCAGGATTGATATGAGCAACTACAACATGAGTCAGTAACAATAACAGTGTAAAATTATTTTTTGTTATTAATAAAGACATTAAGATTTTATTGACTAGGACCAAACAGCAACTGAATTTCTGTGTTTTCTGCTGCTCCTGCGCAGCTGTCTCATACACACAGAGTCATACTTTATAAGCTGCAGTTAAAACATATTTTACATTGTTGCTTGTCAAAGTAATTTTGCTTCTTTCAAGCCAAATTATTAGTGCTATAGTGCCCAAATTTCTAATCACTTCCAAAGCTGTATTGAACCAAAATTGTATAGTAGTGTAAAGGTAACATATTAAAAGGGTTGAGAGAAGAATGTAATGGTGCATAGAGGATTTACATACTTCCTAGTATGGCTGATTCAGTCTCCTGACACACCTCCAGGAAGCTGCAGTAAGATTCCATCTCAGCAATGGAGATCCGTACAGTGGAATAAGATCCATAAACGTCCATATTTACCACAACTTGTAAAACAAGATCCAAAGGTCTTTCTTCCTCAAGCCTTCCTCAAGATTCTGTTTGTAGTCAGAATAAACTGAATCTTACATGGTTGTACTGCATGTATATTCTTTTCTATGGTATCTACCGGTCCTGCCTCCCCACTGACTCTGTCAGAGAAGCGGGGGGTGATCCATGTTTGTCTAATGCTTCTCCTGTCTGTTACACACACAAATACACACTTTTTGTTTTCTATGCCGCTGTGCTGCTGGACCTGTTTGTTGCATGTCCCTGTACAGCCCACAAGATACCTGTAACCTCTCTACTTCTGTCTATGTCTGTTTCTGGCTCTCTGTCATAATCTCTGCTACAGGGTAAAGCCTATTACAGGTCATTTGCATACACCCACACCTGTTACAATCACAGACCTGCTGTGAAGGAGGGAGTTTACACTCTATGTAGACTCTATTAGAGGTTCTTTTCTACCCTGTACACTTCTCTCCTAATTTTGAGAGATTTTGTGTAATTTTGTGAAATAATTAACAACAAAAATACAAATAAAAAAGGATACTGTGGAGTAATACAGTAGTGTTTCAAGTGAGCCAGTATGCAAAACATCAGCATCCTGGCTGCTTACCCACATGACATGTAGGTGTAATATTTTCGGTCACACCTGTGCTCTTTCTGTAATGTGACAATACTGCAAACCTTTTAAGCACAATCACCAACCTATGATAAAGTCAAGAGAATCATTTTGAGACATTGTCAAGAATAGTCTTTTTTTACATGCAACACACAGCTGGGGATTATCCACACATGGTAAATGGCCTGTATTTATATAGCGCTTTACTAGTCCCTAAGGACCCCAAAGCGCTACATATCCAGTCATCCACCCATTCACACACACATCCACACATGTATTCACTACTGGAAATATGCTGCTTGGTATAGGCAAGGGAGGGATGGCACCAGGAAGAGTGTAGACATTCTATAGCTCAGAATGACCTGATCTATTCTTGCGTAGGCTCCGTCTGACATTATACAGACTTTTAGTAAAAACCATGTAATGCCTGAATGGACTTATTCTGACACTTAGAGCACTGCCTTGAAATGTCTAAAATAGTTCTGAACTGAAATGCATGTGAGAAAACAGCTTATTTATATGGTGAAAAAAGCTCTACCTGCTGAAGTCTTATTTTAAGCTATCGTAGAAGTGGATTACAGCAGTGAACTCTATTCAGGTACACACTGTACTTAATCTTTTATAGTTTTTACCCAGATAAAAATCAGCTCATGTAACTTTTCAAGGCACTAAATAAAATAAAAGAAGTTTTTTTGGAGGTGGCTAAAATCCCATAAGCATCTCATTTAAAGGTTTGCTGTATGGTGCTTTATTTCTGGCAAGTGAATTACCTGAAATTAGTTTGTGAGTACAGAATCAAAGAAAAACAGACCTTTTTTAAATGTTGGCATTTTTGTTTGTTTGTTTTGTTTGAGAATTCATAATAATGAGAGACATTCAAAATACCTTATCTCACTTCATTACCAAATGAAATGATTGAAATGAAATCATTTCTCAGCTCAGTTTTTCAGATTTTTCACATGCAAATAAACAGATTTAACCAGCTGGAGCATCATCTAGTGGTGATGCAATCAAATATGCAAATTGTAAAATAAGATTGTTTTATCTCACACATACAGCTCGACGCTGCTCCCGATCTATCTGTAAAATAATTTCTCTGTCTCCTCAGATGTGATCCCAACTCTGCCAACAAGCAATCAAACTGCCCGACTAACATCCTGCAAATGCATGAAAGCAGCTGTGATTCAACTTCAACTCTTGGATTAAACCATTAGATTCTCCCTGCTGTTGCCTTCTGTTGAGAACTGGATGAACCCAGAATCCCTGTTTCTTCCTTTTCTTGTGTAGAAACACCAGGACCAGCACATCATTGCTGGATGTGAAATGCATTTCTTTTTTTTGTAGTGTGTTTTTGAGGACAAATTCTTTTGCAAAACCGCAATGCTTTTGATGCGTATTTAGATTACATGACAAATTTGCATCTCAAATAATTTGAATTTCATCTTGTATTTTAAGGTCCAATGGTCAAATTTAAATTACAAATGACAGAGCCTGTCACACCTGCCTGTGAGGATTTTGGTCTCTGCTGTCCTTTGTCAGTCAGCTGTATCTGGAACGCTTTCTTTTCAGTCTAAAAACTGAAGTTCTACAGGACCTTAACCTTAATACCTTTTTCATGTGCAGTTATGAGTCGAGTATCTCTGTTGGCCTTTTTGAAAAATTGATGTTGGTTCTCTTGATGTCAGCCAGCTCCTTTAATTCCCCTGGAGAGGCTTGCTGTTCCCTTTATTCTCTCCTTTACTGCCCAAGATGCACACTTTATGTTCGTTCTGTGGGTATCTGCCTGTGATATCCATGCATGCTTCCTGTTTCATCCTTAATAGTTGATCTAGCCCTTCTTTGTGGATGCTCTAGGTACTGGACTTCAGGAGGAATCTTCTGCTAGCAAATTCTTAAGCTTATAACAGGACTGTTGATTGAGCGAGAATCACAGAAGCACCAGTGACCTCAGATAATCCTTGTTCTGTCTTCACTGAGATATTTGAATGCTAATCAATAAAATCAAATCAAATCAAATCAAAACATATTTTTCAGCTAATTTTTCAAATAGAGCTTCTGCACCTTCTGTTATAGTTAAATTGACTCTTTCAATAACTCCTCACCACTGCATAAGCTATTATTATTCAGGTGCCCATTTAAGTTATTTTGCCCTCTTCCATCTCTATGCAGTCTCACAATCAGTGTTTTACATTAGTTTATCATATGTTATTATTATCATGTCACAATAAGCAAAAACTGAGAAATCTGCACTTTGTTAAACTGTGTTCGTGCCGCCACCATGTATGAAAATGTTAGCATGTACAATAATGTAGCTTACCTGCTTGTATTTTATATTTCACAAGATCAAACACATGGGATAGACTAACACTTTACCACACAAAACTGTATTAATAAGCTGCAGGTCCATTTCACTCCCACTCCTGACAAACCACTACAGACTCGTGTGTATCCCCATCACTACCATTGACAAGGTGGTACTAAGGAAGCAGCATTATTATAGGCTTTGACCCTTTAAAGCTCTTTTTTACTGAGTACGGATTAAGTCAAAGCTATATAGCACACACACCTATAACACAGTCACTACAGTCGATATGACAGTCACTTACATATTACTGATCCCATGTTGCTGCTGATCTTTCTGTGACACAGTGTACAGGAGGGGCTGAGCCACACCGCTAAACCAACATCCAGTCCAATGTCCACAGCAACACACACATACAAAGATCTGGTGATACTACAGTCCACTCCTCAGGGCTGTCTGGTTTTCCTCAGTAGTTCAGGACCAGTCCTTGTCATTTTGTGTGTAAGAGTAGCAAGAAACGGCAGAGAGGTATGGATATGTGTGTGCTGATGTTCGTGTTTTCGTCAAAGAGGGGGGTTGAGCCTCTCCTGGCAGCCTTGTGACCGGCTTAGCTGCTCAGTTCTTACCACAGTTTACACAAATATCCTCAACAATACTCTCATCAGGCAGTGGGGACTTCCCTTCTCCTCTGCATCCTTCCATGTTTACTCCCAGCTTTCCTTTCCCCCTGTCCTGCTTCTTTTATGCCCCCTCCTCTCAAATGATTTATAAGGCTTCTCCACATTGTTTCTTCACTAGTTATGGATGCGTGTGAGATGGCTGCCACGCCCTATCTATACACAAAGCTTTAGACTTTGAACTGATCATGTATGTAAAACAGCACAATTAGACAGGTTTTGGTCACACTCAGAGTCAAAGATGCATATAGTTGCATCGACTACATTATTCAGAAGAGAAAAAACTGTATGATGTTGGTTATCCATCAATAAGTGTTTTCCCTCCACCTCTTCTCGGATACTTTTAATTTCTTAATTAAAAAATGTTAAGAAGATATAAAATAGTAAGATGGCGAATATTTACATGCACATATGTTGGGTTGTGTCCAAAAAGTGGGTCAAGGCTGTGGCGCGTGTGTCCAAATAGTCTAATAAGTGTGTTACAGAATGTATGTGATATATAATAAATATTCCTTGCAGACAATAGTTTTGGCAGTTTATCAGACTTTTTCTTTTAGGTTAAATGTTGATATTTTCTGACTGTTAAAACTTTTCATTCCATATAAAAATAAATGAAAATATAATATTTAAGGTGGCTGAGGAGGATGCATTACTGCAATTTGGCGTGACACATTACTTGTATTTGAGGTTTTATCGTACTAAATTGTACCTGTTTAATTCCTTTCCTTTAATTCTCTTTTCACACATGAAGATGAGAAAAACCACTGAGTGCTAATCAGCTGCGACCAAGACAACTACAGTCATCAGCAACAGCCAATATCTGTCAGTGACCTCAGCCTCTCAGAAATGTTTGTCCTTTCCACACGACTACAGGACTCTTCATTAAAGGACATGCGACAAAAAAGTTCTGGGGTATTGTAAATCAGTTGTCTTGGTTCTTTTTGTGTTGTGTGACTGGACAGTTTGTGGAGAAGAAATATTTTTTTACTAAAATGTAACCAAGTTTCTTACTTACTGTGTTATTTAACATCTAGTTCACACAAGTTACTCTTAAAATGACTTTTCTCAGAAACTTCTGGTGTTACAGTCTAGCCTTATACAGTATTTCCATTCAGACAGTTCACGCATCAGCCTGAATCTTTCTCCACTCGTGTTTGAAAGGGTTAGCTAAGGTTACATGAGCTGCATGTATATCAGTTAGAGCAGCCTGTAGGAATTGCATTTTTCAAAACTATTTCAACAAAAAGAATAGAGCTTTTATTCTGCTGGTCCATTAAAAAAAAAGTCTATTTTTGGTCAACTACTGTTCTAACCGCTGACATCATGGATTATGTCACTGTAGGCCTTGGCTAGCTCACTGACAATGACCTTCTCCTACTGGAACCAGAAAATCACCATAGACTTGAAATGACGCAAGCAAACTATCTTAAAGTGACAGTCCAGGATGCACAAGACGGACATTTCCACACATTACTGAGTACTGACGTTTCAGACCAGGCACTAGAGCAATCTGAATAATTGATGAACATGGCATTCCCACCAGTCCCAGATCGAAAAGGAACAGATGTTGTTTTCTGTTCTCTTTAGCACTCTATTGTTAGCATAAAAAAACACGCTTTCACTCGGTGTGTTTACCAGTTAAGTTATTGGTGAAATCATTTCAGAACTTTCAAGGAAAGCAAAACAGTTAGCGTTCCTGATAAACTGCAAAAAACTAAAAGTGAAACTATGAAATGATTCACATGTCCTGATGAGCGTTTCCAAGGAACACTGTGATTACAGGAATACCTTTCAAAATTTATCAAGTATCTTGACAGCCAACTGAAGTTTTCAAAATGAAAAACTAAAAGGAAAACAGTAGTTGTATCAACGAGTTTGCCCTGTAGTCAACACTGAAACTGTGACCAGACCACTTGACCTTGGCTCATTTGACCTGCTCAGCATTTATCCTCTTAAAAATTGTTCTGTAAAAAAATTAGGCCAAACTGTGAAAGTTCTCCTGTGCTATTGTTCAGCTCTATTGTTGTGAGCAGGACCGTTCAGCTGGCCTCTGTCCAGCAGACAGAAAGAAAGACACTTTCCAAAGGATATGGTGTGCCTCCCCTCCCCACCTCCACTCCTGTATCATATACAGGAAGAGGAAGCAGAGAGAATACAGTGCTAACGTCATCACTACAAAGGTTGGCGCTGTTTGGAAGCTTGGGTGGGTGACAGGGGGTTCAGGCAGGAGGCCTCTGAATAATATTACAAATCCTGAGTTGCTATCAATAGGCTGCAGTTGAGATTTCAGTAGTGGACCTCTGAAGACATGTAAGATGTGAACGCTGTCAAATACAGAAAACTTGTAGTGTAATGTTAGATGAATCTCCAGAAAGATACAATGCAGCAAGCAAAAGGCCAGGCAACAATACTGCTAATTCTGCCCTGTTGTATCTTATACCAAACGACATATATGACCACATTATGATTTGAGTTCCAAGCTGTAAGGATAAGCATCTAACCTAGCACCATAAACTCAATACAATATCATAAATGATATATAGCGATTTTCATACACACACTACAGACCACCTAGCTTTTTTAAGGGGGCAAAGCGAGGCATTAAGAAGCTACTCAGAAGACATAATCTCTTCAGCATGTCCTGGGTCTGCTCCATAGTCTCTTCAAGTTCAATCAAGCCCAAAACACCTGGAGGTAGACCAGGAGGTATACCCAAATGACTTCACCTAACTCTATTTAATCCTTTCCGATTTTATAAATGTTTTTAATTTATTTATTTGACATGTGACAGATAGCTGTGTACAACAGTCATCCAATAAGATTTACATTTTCTCAGTTATGTAGAAAAGACTTCAACCGAGAAGAGGAATCACAGATCCATAACAGGTCGGCATTTTGTTGGCAAGATAACTCATAATTAAAACAACTGGGAATTGTGTAGGGGAAACAGGGGATAGTTATAACGTTTGACATTTCTGTCTGTAGCTTGGAGCTCTTTTAAGGTAGTGGGTTCAAAATGTAATTCAAAGTATTTACATATATCTGCTATTAAATAGTACAGCTATTTTCTCTGCAGCACAATTACTCATTGCATGGTGTGGTCTCAGACACAAAGAGTGAAACGTTACAATTGACCCCATAGCCTGGGTTAGTTGTAACATATCCGTGGGTGAAAAAACCATCTCTGACAAAGTGGTCTGCATAACGTGGGAACACAAACATTGGAGGAACTGTGTTGCCAATGGCATTAACCGCATATACAAAGGTGACCAGTGAACCTTTCTCTGCTGGTGTCATTGTCCCAACTTGTTTAATATAAGTTAAAGTAATAGTGTGGTAAGTTGTAACATCTGCATTATTGTTACAACTGACCCAGACTGTTGCTGTTACAACTGACCCAGACTCCTATAGCCATGAACTAGCTAACATTACAGCCAACGGCTAAAACATTAGCACTAAAGACCTACACAGAATATATCCCCATAGACATACAAATAACATAATTTAAGTTTGATGAGTTTAACTGCAAAGCAGATAATGCTATTAGAAATTGACATAAAGTTGAAATAAAAAAACGTACTTTTTTGCATACAAATTAATTTTTTCTTCTTAAACTGTCTGTGTTTGCCAAAATGTGCTAATTTTTCACATGTGATAGAAGAAATGAATTGGGCATGTACAGGATGAATCACATCATTTGACACTTAGCTCTGATTGGAGAAATTGGAAGTGCTACAACTGACCCATGTTACAACTATCCCTGGGTTCTCCTGCAAGCTAATATGCAACGTGACTAACATAACATTAGTCATCTCCTATATGTGCTCATAATGACATCACCAGTTCAGATAAGGTTTGAAAGTGTTGCCTGAAACTGTTTGGCTCTTCCTCTGTTTCTGCATGCTCTGAAACCCAATTCATGTCAAACAGTATCATCTTATAACATTGGTACAGTACATTCTCATGATCTGTCTCTACTGATCTAACACACACCAAGGAAAATTGATTCCATCTTTGATCAATTACATTCTGCCATTTGAGGCTTCTCCTCCTCCTGCTGCCTGCACAATATCAAAGGTGAAAAGCCAACAAGCTCTCTTCAAAATGACTGTACAGAAAATTAGAGAGAGTGTCTGTCATTCCTTTAACTCATTCACTGCCATTGACGTCTATAGCCGTCAATTGCAGTGAATGAGTCAATGGGTTTAACTCATTCACTGCCAATGGCTGGCAGTGAATGAGTTAATAACAATAAGCAGAGGTGGAATCACATCACCAAAAGCCCTTATAGTTTGTTTTGTTTATACTCATAAAGGAATAGTGAAAAAAATGACCACCGATATTTTTTGGTAATCACTTTCACTTTACCCTGGTGAGAAATATTATAAAGTCATAGAATGATGGCGATTTCATAGTAACTTTGAAATCCAGTGCTCAGGAAATTCAACTGCATTTATTAACATGGGCCTGCTGTGGTGAAACTACAGAGTCCTGTAGATGAATTCCAAAAAGGTGCATCTTAGATAACATGCTTTTTATGCAACACTGGAATATAGCAGCCTACCAGTCGTAACAGTGAAAAGCTGTATTAGGAAAAATTGCCTCATTCAGCAATCGACTCATACTTTCCCTTCCCGCTGAAGAGGTGATTCACTTTAAGTCTTGCCTTTATTAAAGCTTCAGTATCTCCCAAGTAATTTTGTTAAGTAGCACAATGCTCATTTAGTTGTCAGTTAAACAAATTATTGAAAGAAGTATAAATGCATATTAGGCAGTTGCAGTATGAAAAAGAAAAAAAAACTGCAGTAATTTGCATGATAATCTGTGTAGCTTGAGTGTAATGTTAAAAGTTTGTTTTCATGAGCTGTTAATGCATATTTGAATTGTGGGAGAGCAATATTTTCTCACCTTTCATAAAGGATGGTTCAATGTATCCAGTGCTAAAGGGGACCATACATGAAGCAATGCAGCACATTTACTTAATTAGAGAATTCATCCAGCTCTTATTATCGTTCTCACACAGATGCTTCCAGCTTCACGTCACTCAATTAGGAACCTTCTTAAGTAAACTGACTGTTAAACTGTAGCCTTTGACTGGAGCCCATCTGAGCTTTCACTGGACACACACTGATACTGGTCATCCATCGCAAAGCTAACACGGATAGACAGGCAATTATTCACACTCACATTCACACTTTTGTCAATTTAGAATCACTGATTAACCTAACACACATCGGAGAAAACTGGAGTACTTGGAGTGAATCTATGCAGTTTTTGTTGTTTTGAAAAAAATATATATTCCTTTTATTTGCCTCTAAAAAGTGGGGTTAAGGTTAATTGTAATCATCAATCACAGAGAGAGGCCTTTAACTGGACATCCAATATTTGTTATGAAATTTTAGTAATGTATAACTTTAAGACCGAACTGAAAGGCCTGAAGTAACAAAAAATAATAATAATGCACAAATTTTATTAATGACAAATTAGCTGCATAGACAGATCATTGATGGTTGGGTCTGTGTATTAATGATGTGCAGACATAAATCAGTTCACAGAGTCATATTGTAGTTTCGTGTCATTCTTTTTTGGACTGAAACAAGTCACACTACTGTAAATCAATTAACTTCAGAGTGCAGACTTAAAATTAAGTTACACTCAGGTTAGCATGAGACCAATATCAATAGTTTCTCAATTATATAATGGTATAACAAGTAATCTTTTAAAAATAGGTGAAGAATATAACAATATCCAGTTAAATTAACACCTTTACAGAATCATCTGTGCTGCAAACACTGGTGGCAGCATACTGAGCGAGCATGATTTCCAGTAAATTAATTCAGAGCCAGTTTCCATAGTAACACTCTTCACAGGCTGCCCTCCGCCCCCCTACCCATCATTCTCTTAGCTACTGTGCAGTGCAGGCAGTGCAGCAATGGAGAATACTGTGCAATGCAACCGTCTCCAGCGTGGCACATTAACCTACTTCCACACCAGAAACAACCCGGATGCGGAATTAGAGAGAAGGAGGATGAAAAATGATGGATGAATGAGGAGAAAAGTGCAAGGAGAAAAAAAGGTTTGAGTGGACTGAACTACATGGAAGGCAGAATGAAGGACACACAGAGGGGAGAGAAAGAACGAACTCGGGATGGAAAAGAAGTGATTACTATGAGAGAAGGGCAAAGAGGAGAGCTGGAAATAAAAGGCACAATGAAAAAACTGAGTAAAGGTAACAAGACAGAAACTTAAATGGACAATATCAATGGAAGACTGAATATGTATCATCATTATTCATATTAAAACAAGAAAATAAGATCCTGGTCTCAGTAATATTTACTCGCATCAAAGGAAACAGTTAATGTATGCCAGTGAAAATGAGAATGAAATGAAAAATAAATTTAAAAAAATGTTGATTGCTGCTGAAAATCACAACTGAACCCAATGACTTCTCTGCTACACTCTTTGGCACATGTTCCTTCTTGCCCATCGCATCCCTCTTCACTCAGTGGTCCTGATGAGAGGATGGAAATTCCCTGCCTCCATTTCATTTGCCCTGCTTCCTAATCACAAGTCAAAGATTTTTAGATAAAGATCTTTCACCACAACGAGGGTATATTCCAAGAGGCGGGCTCTCCTTAGAATTTCCCATGAGAGGATACCGTTTAAACCATCCGCTCCTCTTATTCTAATTAATCCACCTGAGAGTGAAACATGAACAGACAGACAAAGGGGGGAAACTGAGAAGATATACGATGACTTACCGACATGAGTGATGACACACTCGACCCTCTGTAGCAGCTCCTGAACCGACATCTCGTCCTCTCTCAGCCAGCACAGCATCTCAGGGTGTGGGTTGCATCCACTCTTCTCTTGATCTCTCTTCGTCTCACTCTCTCTCTCTGCTGCCACGCCTCCTCTCGTCACCCTTCCACCCCAGACAGTCTCCCCTGCTTTTGCTCCCTAATCCAATTTTCTCCCCTGAGATTTGTGTCTCCCTTTCTTCCCCTCATATATGTTGATTCTTATTTATACTCTTATTCCAAGTCCTTCCTCACATTTATCACCATCACAGACAGCCACAAAGCCTGGGGATAATGATAATGTTGATGCCACTCCCAGCCACTTAGCTAAATAGTAAGTCTACGTATAAAATAACCACGCTGCTAGTAAGGCACACATAAAGTAACAAAAAAAAAACATTTGGGGTTGATAGAATAGAAAATAAAATAGCTCAGTCAATTGAACGGTGAGCAAGATAATCTGCCAGTCAGTGTTCAGTAAAAAACAATGGCAAGGTAACTGTTAAGCAATTAAACAATAAAAGCCAGAACAAGTCAAGCGGAAAGACAACGAAAGAGGCAATTTGTTTGTCACCCTATCAGTCAGAAAACTGTGCCAACAGTAAAAAATAAAACTGCATTTTCAGAAAATTTGTAAGTAAAAACATCCAATTATTGATCAGCCATCCAGACACGAATAGAGCCAACCGTTCCTTGTCATGATGCTCCAAGCCCCAACTGAAAACCAGAAAAATCCTCATAAAACAAAAGTAAATATTTACAGCACCTCTAACCTAGGAAAAGACAGAATGCTCCTCAGCCAGGGGAGATAGTTGAGTCAACTCCATTGAAAGGGAAACTCCTCAAGCTTGATGGGCAGGAAATCAGTGGTGCTGCTGCTTTGATGATGCTCTATTTGCTCTCATAAAGAAGCTGAGTCACACAGAGGGAAAACGAATCAGAAGGCTGCTTCACCTGCCTGCAGGGCGGAGGGAGAGACACAGAGCTGGCTGAGGGTGGGGTGGGGGTTAATAGGTCCAAGAGAGAAATCCTGGTGCCTGGAGCTGGACTGTAAGAGGAGTGGAGCTCCAGGAAAACACAATGATTATCAAATTAAACATTATAAAAAATATATATATATTCTGTTTTTGTTAAATATGTGGGAAAATAACATAAAACATTTTTAAAACCCTACATATTTAGCCATCAAAAAGACCGTGTTAAATTAAATAACTCACACGACTCATCACGCAAGAGCACGAACAAAACAAATCATTTACGCTTTCACTTCGCAGAGTCATTCTACTGCTACTAAAGCCACTCTGCTAATCCAGCTCCACATTTTGCCAGAACCAAACAATGTAAGGGGCTCTAGCATCTCTCCATGGCCCTGTATGCTCCTGGGACTGTCTATTAGCCAGAGACATCTGTGCTCTTGCTACTCATTCATCTTTTCTCTGCAGGCAATCACAGGCTGTACAACAGAAACAGCCAAGATCAATGGCCCATCAACTGGCAGACAAAACAAAGCACATAATCCTGTATTTC